AAGCACCCTGTGCTCTGCTGACATGCTCCTGAGGTCACAGACTTCTTGGACTTCAAACCAGTCATGCTAGGTAAAGGTGCTTCTCAGTAACTTACCAGAAAGATCTGGGTCTCCTGGGTGCTGCTGAAACAAGACTGACCATCTTTGGAGCATCATATGAGGGCATTGCCTACCCTGGTCCTTACACCATGACTACTGATGGGACTGACCTGTCCCACCTCCCATCTGCAGGTCTGTCAAACTAAATGGGCCAGGTGACCAACAAGGGATCTGCCCTGAGGAGACCACAGTTCAGCTGAGAGAGCAGCCCAGGCCCAGGGATCCTGTGTGGGTCTGGAGGTTGTCCTGTTCCTGTCACTTCCAAGAGCAGATCAGTGTCCTCGATGCCTTTACCATAGGCTCACCCACTTGCCACAGCATCAACTTCCAGTATTCAGGGTTTGTTTGCACCAAGACTGTCTGAGATTGTTCCCAGGCCACCTGTTGGCCATCAAGTAGTGTGGCCTTGTGCCCATGCTAACCATGGCCTTTGAAGATGTCTTTCAGATGCAATCCCAGCCTCCCCAAGCTACAAGACTCCCAGCTCCTCTTCCTGTCTAGAGCAGCATAACCAGAGAGTTGGGGTGCTGAGCAGAGCAGCATCTGCTTCACATCAGCTTTGTGCCTCCCTGAGCCATATCACTCCACCTTTACATTGTCCCTGACTCTGGTTGGTGGTTCTGTTGGGTTCTCTGGTGTTGCTCTCCTTTCAAGCCTGCCAGATTAGTTGGCAAAGAAGGACTCTTTGCATGTGTATTTGATCCAAATGTGTGTTTCTGCAGATTTTTTCCCATTTTTTTAAAGCATTTATTTGCAAAGAGGAGTTGCCAGGTCTGGATTTGGTGCTGCAGGCAGTCTGCTTGGCCTTTGCTGGCTGGCTGCAGATTGTCTTCCTCCAGAAACTTCTGCCAAGTCATGGCAGGAAGAGTGTGTCTGCTGAAAACCAGTGGCTGAGCTTGTGGTTGACCACCCAAACTTCATCAGGCGGGTTTCTCTTGGCTCCAGCCTCTCTCTGCTAGTGTGAGTCTTCTTGCCTTCCCCAGGAGAGCTCCCCACCTCCAAATCCAGAGGCTGTGAAATTCCTGAGGGCTTACTCTCGCTGTGGCCCTGGGATCAAGCCGTGCAAACCGCTCTCCCCAAGGTCTGCCAGGACGAAAGCAGGGCCAGACACGGAGGCTCCAGAGGCTGTGGGTACTGAAACCAAGGTGAGTTGCACACTAACTGCATCCATCCCTGGGGTTTCTGGCACTTACCCCTTGCTCCTGCTTTGAACTCTTTGTTATGTTCTTCTAAAGCCTTGGATCAGGTGTGCTGTGTGAACAGGGAGAGCTGTAAATACCATTTCTGGCTGAAGGGAAGGGACAGGGCCTTGGTCACTGGGGTGGTGAGACGAGTGATCAAGGGTTTCTGATACTTCCCTCTGGCTTCCTGCTTGCTCATAGTTAATGAGGTCATGAAGTTCCCTTTGAAAATCCCACCTCCTCACCCCATGCAAAGCTACAGGCTTGGAAAGCTGCATGGTAGAGAATAATGTGGGGGTGCTGGCTGACAGCTTCTCAAGCCATGGCCGTGGCTTCTGCTGGTCCCTCTGACTGCAGAGATGGGTTGGGCTCAGGGGGTGCTTGTCCTGCCAGAGCTCACCTGCCATTCAGGAGCTTGCACAGTGCTTCTTCATCCCTTTTGGGGACTGGGTCAGCTGCCTGTTTGCGTGTGCTGAGCCAGGCCCTGCTGCTTCCTCTCCTCTTCCAGATGCACGTGGAGGGCAAGAGCATCGACTTCGTCAGGCACAACGCCCGCCAGGCCGGGCGGGCCCCGCTGCGCCGCTCCCAGTCCCTGCAGGCGCTGGCCCAACTGATGGAGCAGAAGCAGCGGGAGCAGGAGGAGTACAACACCAAGCAGAAGGGCCATGTCCCCCAGTAGTACGTATGCCCCTCTCTGGTCCCAGCACTTGCTGTGACAAGGCCACCTTACAGCATCGTTCTGGTTGGAAGAGACCTTTAAGATCATCCAGTCCAACCATTAACCCAACTCTGCTGGTGCTCACCTGTGTCCCTCAGCACCACATCTACACAGCTTTGAAACCCCTCCAGGGGTGGGGATTCAGTCATCTCCCGGGGCAGCCTGTGCCAGTGTTTAATGACCCTTTCAGTGAAGAAGTTTCTCCTAATATCCAATCTAAACCTCCTGTGGTGCAACTTGAGACCATTTCCTCTCATCCTGTCACTTGTTCCTTGGAAGAGGAAATCACTCCCCCCTGGCTCCAACCTCCTCTCAGGCAGTTGCAGAGCAGAAGGTCTCCCCTCAGCCTCTTTGTCTCCAGGCTGGACACCCCCAGCTCCTTCAGCTGCTCCTCCTTAGACTTGTGCTGCAGACCCAATGTCACCTCCCTTCACCATGTCCCCCAGCTTCTGTGCAGAAAGACATGGGGCTGGGGACAGGGGTGGGGGCTGGGGACAGAGGCACACTTGCTATATGCAAGCAGTGAGATTTGATGTGGCCTGGACAATAAATGCAATCCCTGCTGGTTTCTTGCTTGAATGAGCATCCTGTGGCCACTCTAACTGGGCACAGAGGGAATTTTGTCACCTTCTCCCTTCCTTGCTGCCATGATGCTGACATGGGGATGCTCTATGTGCTCTGGGAAATGTGCTCCTGCCCCATCATCAGCCTTGCTCCACGTGACGTGGCTTTGGGATCAGAAGGTCTGGTTTTGGAGGCAGCTAGCTGTCTCCATGAACGGTCACCCTTGGACCTACAGTCTGAGGAACATCTATCTGGTGACCTGCATTGAGTGAAACACAGTTCTTGTCCTGGGACACGGCTATGTCAGTCTTTTGGCTCTCTGCCATTCCCTGCCAGCATCCCTGGCTGGGAGCTGCATCATCCACCTTCATTCCCTCACTGGCCTACAGACGGTTTTGAGAGGACTCAGTGGCCTAGGCTAGAAGCAAGGAGCAGAGCCCTTGTCTCCAAGGAGCTCATATTGGCCTCAGTGCATGCCTTTTGGTCACCTCCACTGCTCATGGAGCCTGTTTGCTAGTTCCTGCGTGCGGGTTGCGTCCCTCCATGGTGAGGGTGGGTGCTGGCAGGGTGGGACTCTGTGGTCCTCAGCAGCACCATGGAGGTTTGAAGGGCTCCATTCCCAGCCCCTACCTGCCTCCCTGGGTGAGCTCCCCTTCCAGATGTGGTGACACATCCCTTCTTGTGCCTTGGCAGCCTGCTGGAGAGGAAGGAGCTGTGGCGCAGGCAGGTGGAGGAGCGGCTGCGGAACCTGCCAGACCCTGACACCCCACCTGGTCATGCCTTGATGCCGGAAAACCAGCGGCTGGAGACCCTTGGCAATCTGAAGCAGAGTAAGAGGAAAAGAAATGGGGAATTCCAGCTCAGAAAAACAGGTGATCCCAGGCAGGATTAGGGAGAGGGAAGTTCTGGGACACAAGTTCCTGCCACTTCCAAGAGTTGCCTGGATTAAGGCACGTAGCTGGGGTGCTGCAGCACTTGAGCTGCCTGCATGGGAAGAGCAAATCTCCTTCAGGCTGGTGGGACCTGCAGGTGACAGGACTGGCTCTCTGGAGCAGCCTTGTCCAGTGGGCCTGATGTTAGGGTTACTGTTGCTCTTAAAATGATAGAAAGATTTTGGTTGGAAGGGACCTTTGGAGGTCTCTAGACCAATCCTTGATTCTTCAAAGCTGCAGCAGGTCACTCAGATCCTCATCCAGCCAAGCTGCCAATAGAAGGATGGTTGTTCTCTCCAAGTCCTTGTTCCACTTCTACCACCGTTTTCATGGGTGAGGATGAGGTCACAGCATTAGGAAAAGGATTAATTTATGTCCTCTTATGAAGCTTTTTTTTTTTTTTTTTAAATTGTCCAGGCCAGGAGCAGCTGGTAAAGGACCTGGTGATGCTGCCAGTGCGCACGGACACCCTGAGCATGCAGAAGAGGCGGGTGGAGCTGGAGAGGAAGCTCTCCCAGATAGAGGAGGCCATCAAAATTTTCTCGAGGCCCAAAGTCTTTGTCAAGCTGGACTCCTGAGCTGGTGGGACTGAGTGTGTTGTGCTGTTCTGCATGAACAGCCTTCATCGCTGAGAAGGGACCATCATCACTTTGGGAGGGAAGGAGAGGAAGGGAAGTTCAGGACCCAGAGTCCCTGCAGTGTCCAACGTGCAGCTGGTATCTCTTGCTCACCCTCCAGTGCTGTGACTCATCCCTGGAAAAGGGGGGGAGATGCCCTAAGATACTCTGCTCTTTGGTCTGGAGAAGAGTTGTCTTTGTGCTGCTTCACTTCTCAGAGATCAGCTCTCTGCTATGGATCCATGGCATCACCTCTTAAATTCCTATTTTTTCCCTCTGCTAGAAGCTGGTAGGACATCTCCTATAGGGCTGTCAGTGGTGTTCCTTGCCCCTTTCTTTCTCTTGAGCTGAGCCATGGTCCTGGCTCATTCTAGGCACCTACAGGCTTGTCTGCACACAAACCTTGTGCTGTACATCTGTGTGTGTGCCTGGTCCTGAGCACTGACCCATCCTGCTCATCAGTCTCTGCACCCTCTCAGCCGCTCAGGGACAGCCTGGGGACAGAAAAGAGCTGCAGAGCTTCAGTCCTTTCTGCCCAGGGAAGAGCTGGGCTGGCTACAGGGGGATCTGGCAGATGTTTGGAGAAGTGTTTGGAGAAGCCTTTGTGGTCTGTGGGTAGGACTTGCTCCAATAAAACATTGTTTCCCTCTTGCAGAGTGTGTGGAGCTGCCAGGGGCTCAAGTGGTGATGGGCAGCACAAACCAGCAGCAGTGACACAGTGCAGGCAGGGGACAGATGTGGGTCACAGTCCTGCTTTCTGCAGGAGCCCGAGGTGGCCTGGGAGGTTGGGTTTCCCAGCTCTGTGGTGCTGGGACATGGTGGTAGACTCAGAGTGGAAAATGTGTGAAGTCCTGCCAGATCTTGGTCCACAGGCTGGCAGGACAAGGCTGGGCAGGTGCCATTGTGGGGGTGAGCTCCCTGCCTCCTTACCTTCAGATGCCACATGGGGACCTGTAACCTTTGCAGGGATCCTGCTTCATGAAGTGTAGAAAGATTTGGGCTAAAAGAATCTCTGGATGGCTGGGTCCATATACTGCTCAGCTCAGGGCCAGCCCCACAGTGTGGGGCCTTGTCTGCCTGAGTTGGGAAAATCTGGAAGAGTGGGGGTGGCAACACTGCCTGGCTGGGGCTTGGCCCCTTCAGGGGAAACACTTCATTTCCTTGAAGTCCCATCTAAACTTTCCTGGTTGCAGCCCGTGCCTGCTGCCCCATCTCCTCTGGCTGTGCGGGATGGGGATGCTGTGCATGGTGGTCCCAAGCCTGGTGGCATGGGGGGGTTACTCCATCCCCAGGCAAAATGTTGCTGCTGGGGATGTTGCTGGTGGGGGGTGTTGCTGGGCTCTCCAGCCCTGCCCGTGGCACCTGGAGCTCTGTGGCTCCCTGGGATGGTGGGAGCTGATGCTGCTGCCAACGCCCAGATAAGCTTTTAGCACTGGAGGGCTGGAGAAGGAGAGATGCCAACCAGGAAATCACCCCGTGCTCCCCGGGGCTGCCCTGGGGGCAGGCAGGCTGAGCTGGCTGGGTGGGAGCTCTGGGAGCAGCTGGGGGCACCACCCCGGGCACCTCTCTGCCCCAGCAAGTCCAGACGAACCAGCCCAGCTGTCTGCTCTGCCCTGCTCTGCTCTGCCTGGGCCCGGCAGCCAGCTGGGACTGTCACTCTGCTCAGGAGGGCTTCTGAGCAGCTCTCCCTGCCTGTCCCTGGAAGCAATGGGACCTGTCCCCCCATCCCTGATGAGGTGACCCTGGCTCTGCCACCTGCCAGGTGCACCCCTGTGCCTGCATCCAGAATCACCCACCCAAGCCCAGGAAGGGCGCCCAGCACCATCTGTTCTCACGTTCCATGGGGTTTATTTCCTGGGATAGCCCTTGTGCCATAGAGGGACGGGCACTGTGCTGGTGCCCTCCCTCCTTCTGAGCCCATATCCAGCTTGGGCAAAGGGGCTGGCAAAGTGGTGCCAGGTTGTGTCCTGCCTGCCCAGGCTGCTGCAGCAGAGAGTGTCACCAGTGGCCATGGTGGTGCCCAAGGCTGATGCTGCAGGAGGGGTGGTGAGAAGGGAAGCCACCATCAGGCCAGGCCTGTCCCCAGCCAGGACAGGAAGAGGAGATGCTGTCACCACCGTGGGACCTTCTGCTGAGGTGTTGCTCCATCGCTCCCTGCAGGCACAAAGGTGCTGGTTGGGGCTGGGCCAGGCCAGCAGCAAAGGCCAAAGCCACCAGCAGAGCAGCACTTGGGCGCCAGGACAGGGCACAGGGGGAGCTGGGAGCCCCAGTGAGCTGGGGGGTGGGTATGGTCCCATGAACTCTAGGCTGGACGAGCAGGGATGGAATGGTGCCACCCCCAGCAGCATTTACTGGGCCTGAGTGACAGCCCAGGTGGTGCTGCCAGCCCCAGTGCCACCCAGCTCTTTGCAGATGCCACCTGGCTGTCTCCTGCAGATGCCACCAGGGTGTCCCTTACATAGTGAGGGCACCACAGCAGGGACAAGGTAGGATCTGGGAGGCCAGGCAAGGCTCATTGTGTTGGGCTACCGTGGCTCACTGCCTAGAACACCCTTGACGAGTGGCCAGGGACATGCTAGGGACAAGGAGTCACCCCCACTTCTCCCCACAAGGGGCCTCGCTGGCATTGCCCAGCACAGCAGCGAAGCCTCAAGGTGCACCATGGTCAAGAGTCCCACCCCCCTTTGGTTCCGGGGTCCCCACCTGCTGTCCCTACCCACTGTCCCCTTCCTCCCAGGGGGACCACGGAGCTGGTGATGGGGTTCATGCTGGCCCAGGACAGAACAGGCCATGGCAGGTGGGACAGGGCAGGTGGGACAGGGCAGTGGGGCTGGTGGGGATACCCCTGCCCCACCCCGCAGCACAAGGGCTGTTTGCTGTCCTACCCCGCAGCTGCTGGGGTCCAGCAGTGACGTGAACCAGGGACCCAGGGGGAGCTTTCTAGAAAATGTTTTACTGTCCATTGCAATATATTAGTTGATGGTACGTATTTTGATAAAACAATTTAAAAAACCCACTTGGTTGGAAGGAGGGGGCGGGAGGTGAGGGGGCTCAGCGGGGCAGTACCAGGGGCCACAGGAGGGCTCAGGGGGACAGCAGCAGCCCCCTCCACCCCTGCCCGCTGGCCCCGGCATCACCCCCGTGCCCACGAGCAGCCCCGA